TTCTTGAATCTCATATAGACTTTCTGAAACTATGTCACACACTTGTGAAATTTGAACTATATTTTATTCAAACTTTCTCAAATGAAAAAATGGCCTATATAAGGATTGTATATCTTGATGAGATAAACAAATTTGGTATTCAAAACTTTCCAATTTGAGACAATCTAGGGTTCCGAAAACTAGTTTGTAAACGTCGAAATTTAAAAATCACAAATTTGACCCATCCAAACTATCTCAAATGGAAAGTTGACCAAAACAAAAATTGTAGATCTTGATGAGTTGAACAAACTTGGTATTCAAAACTTTTCAATTTAAAGTCATTTAGAGTTCATAATACTAGAGTCAAAGTGTTGTTTTTTCATTTGACCAAATTTGACTTGGTCAAACTTGCTCAAATGAGACACTAAATGACCTCAGATGAAAAAACTCTGAATACCAAGTTTGATCATCTCAGCAAGATATACAATTGTTACATAGCTCATTTTCCCATTTGAGAAAGTTTTATCAAACACTAGTCACAAATTCTTGAATCTCATATAGACTTTCTGAAACTATGTCACACACTTGTGAAATTTGAACTACATTTTGTTCAAACTTTCTCAAATGAAAAAATAGCCTATATAAGGATTGTAGATCTTGATGAGCTGAACAAACTTGGTATTCAAAACTTTTCAATTTGAGACAATCTAGGGTTCCGAAAAGTAGTTTGTAAGCATCGAAATTTAAAAATCACAAATTTGAACCGTCCAAACTATCTCAAATGGAAAGTTGACCAAAACAAGAATTATAGATCTTGATGAGTTGAACAAACTTGGTATTCAAAACTTTTCAATTTGAAGTCATTTAGAGTTCATAATACTAGAGTCAAAGTGTTGTTTTTTCATTTGACCAAATTTGACTTGGTCAAACTTGCTCAAATGAGACACTAAATGACCTCAGATGAAAAAACTCTGAATACCAAGTTTGATCATCTCAGCAAGATCTACAATTTTTACATAGCTCATTTTCCCATTTGAGAAAGTTTTATCAAACACTAGTCACAAATTCTTGAATCTCATATAGACTTTCTGAAACTATGTCACACACTTGTGAAATTTGAACTACATTTTGTTCAAACTTTTTCAAATGAAAAAATAGCCTATATAAGGATTGTAGATCTTGATGAGCTGAACAAACTTGGTATTCAAAAGTTTTCAATTTGAGACAATCTAGGGTTCTGAAAAGTAGTTTGTAAGCATCAAAATTTAAAAATCACAAATTTGAACCGTCCAAACTATCTCAAATGGAAAGTTGACCAAAACAAGAATTGTAGATCTTGATGAGTTGAACAAACTTGGTATTCAAAACTTTTCAATTTGAAGTCATTTAGAGTTCATAATACTAGAGTCAAAGTGTTGTTTTTTCATTTGACCAAATTTGACTTGGTCAAACTTGCTCAAATGAGACACTAAATGACCTCAGATGAAAAAACTCTGAATACCAAGTTTGATCATCTCAGCAAGATATACAATTGTTACATAGCTCATTTTCCCATTTGAGAAAGTTTTATCAAACACTAGTCACAAATTCTTAAATCTCATACAGACTTTCTAAAACTATGTCACACACTTGTGAAATTTGAACTACATTTTGTTCAAACTTTCTCAAAATGAAAAAATGGCCTATATAAGGATTGTAGATCTTGAATCCATGACCATGACTCCATGAGACCCATGAAGCAATGTGCTTGGCTATTTCTACTCATCGCGAAGATTAGTGCTTATATGATGTTTGATGTATGATGTATCTCGTATCTTTATCTTATTTGTTGCTTTACTCTTTAGTCTTTTCGGCTTAATCTAGATGGATTATGGACTCATAGAGTGGTGTAATGGTTTTGCATCGCATGATATATATATATATATACCGCTTTTACTCAATATCCTAGAATAGATATTTGTATCAGGCCTTCTCCGAATCCGATTCATACCGTATTCGATACTCATTATTCGTATCCGTGAATCGAAGTCAATCCGTATTAGTATATGTATCCGAAACGCTATCCGTGTCCGAATCCGAATCCGAACAGAAATATGAAAACAAATATAATATGAGTGATATCCGTTCGTATCCGATCCGTTTTCATCCCTAGTGATGACGGCGTCACGGCGATGCAACCAGGCGCAGAGACGCAGAGGGACAGCTGAGGTAGCCAATACGGAGTACTTCTGAACTACAACTCCACAACTTTCCTTTTTTTGCAAAAAAAAAATGTTTCTACCATTTTTTATTTCTAGAAAATTATAAAGTTATAATAACAACTTTTGTGCATGATATTTTGATGGACATTACTTGTCAATACAACTTTTAATCATAATTTTTTAATATATTTTTGACAAATTTTAGAAACAACTTTTTCACATGACCTTTTTGGGATCCAACTTTTCTACAATGATTCCACCCCCGTGTTACCCGATCTGACAGGTTCATCTTGTTTTTTCACTCTCTTTTTTCTCCTTTCATTGTTTTTCCTTTCCTTTCCTTCCCTTTTTTTTATATTACCCTACCCTTTTTCTTCTATATACTATGAATATATTTTTACGTTGTGAAGTTTATTCGAAACAAATTATGTAAAAAATTGTGTTGGATAAGTTGTGTATAAATATTTTGAAAGACATTGAATGGCAAAAAATTATGTGTATAAGTTATGTTATTTGTAAAAAAAGACTTACTAATAAAAGTTTAGCTAGAAGTTTATGTTGATAAATTGTTATGATAAATTTGTCCGCTGACAGCTATGAATAAAACTTATGTTGCAATGGTCATGTAGAAAAGTTGTCATAATAAGTTGTTTACGAAATTACATGAAAAAAACTATATTGAAAAGTTAGGATAAGAAGTTATGGTGATCAGTTTTGTCCCGTAAAATGTTATGCATAAAAGTTGCAAGTGTAGCTTTGGAACTTTCTAAAAAAATGTTGTGAAACCTTTTTCCAGAAAAGAAAAGTCGTCACAAAAGTTGTATGATGGCACTGTTTGTAGTCTAGTGAGCATCTAATGACTAGTGGACTCAGAATTTCTCTATGTACACACGGATGAAGTTTTTTGTGTGTAGAAAAACCATCTTTATTTATGTGAAATCATCAAATGTGAGTATGTGACCTCAATGGTTTACACTATGGGATTGTAAGACTATTTGTAAAAAAAACACACTACTACGAAAAATCTTTTACGAGACGTTTTGAAATTGACGTCGGAGGCGGGCGGACTTTCCAACCGACTCGGTTAATGCCTCGGATTAACCGAGGCGGTTATAGTCAACCGCCTCGCAAAATCGATTTATCGATGCGGTTAAAAAACAACCACCTCCTAAAATCTATTAACCGAGGCGGGCCTTATAAGACGTCCGCCTCAAAAAATACTGCCTCGGTTAATATAGTCGAGCCCACTAACAATCCATCTCGGCCCAACTTGGCCCGACACCACGTCGCAGTATATATATGCAAGAATGAAACCCTAGACCTCACTCTCTCCCTCACCCCGCCGCTCGCGTCCATCACTCTCTCCCTCACCCGGACGCCAGAGTTCGCGACTCTCTCCTCCCCCTCGCGACTATGCCGCTGCCTCTCCCTCTCCCTCTCCCGCTCACCCGCTCCATCTCCCTCTCTCCACCAGATCCGGCGATGATGCCGCTGTTCAGAGCGTGGCCTTCCTCATGGCGCGGGCTCGGCGGCACGCGGCCTCGCGCAAGCTCGCGACTCCATCTCCTATCCCGCTCCCTCTCCCTCTCTCCACGCAACTCAGGGCATGGCAAGCGCGAGGGATCGGCGGTCTGTGACCTCGCGCAAATTCTGGCAGCGGATCAACGGCGGCGGCCTCTCTCCTTGGGGTCGCGGATCCATGACAGCGCTGCCCTCCGGCGGCGGCGCGGCCTCAAGGTCGCGGGTCCACGGCTAGGGGCTTGACCCTTCGGCTATGGCTATGGCGTGAATCTCCTCCTCCGAGGCGAATCCACTCTCCCGCGCCCTCCCCCCTCCCTTCTCCGTGGATCCGGCGAGTAGCGGTGCGGATCCGACGAGCGGAGCGGCGGCACGTGGATGGGCTCGCTGGGCTTATCAATGTTCGGCAAGGCGAGATTCCACGGTCGCCTAGGCGCGACTAGGCACGGGCGGGAGGTTCATGGCGCCTCTGAGGGGTAGGCGTACATCTAGGCGGTCCGCGCGCCTCCATGGTGCTCGGGCGGCGAGTAGGCGGACGAGGCGGCGGCTAAGCGAGGAGGCGCTTGGCGGGACTCTGTTGCATGGGAGGGAGCCACGCGCAAGAGCGGGCGACAATGGCATGGGAAGGAAAAAAAAGCAGATCGCGGGTGCCTATAGAAAGGATTAGAGAGAGAGAGACAGAGAGAGAGAGAGAGAGAGGAGAATAAGAGAAGGAGATCCTCACCGCTGTCGCGTGGCCGGTCTTCATCTCTCCTGCCGTGGCCGCCACCCGTAGCACCGGTGAGTCTGGTGTCCCGCCGAGGCTCGTTGGAGGGAAGGGTGGAGGCGAGTCCAGAGCTCCTCCTCGAGCCCACCAGGAGGGAGTCACTTGAGTCTAGAGGTCCTCGTCGCCGCCTTCCACAAGCCCAAGGTGAGGTCTACCCACCCCTGCTCCTCTCTCCTCCGCTGATTGCTCCCTTCCATCTTCCCGCTCTCTACGCCTGTGTTGTTCTCACTGCTTTGTGTGCGGTGTGCCTGTGTCTTCTTTGCTATTTACCTACTACCTTTGGAGATCTGGTTGATGCTATATAATATGCCTGAATGCCTGTTGTTCTTGCTCTATATCTAGCATCTATTATCTACATCTGTGATGTACTAACATTTGCTATCTAATATGCCTAAAATCTGAATGATTGATGTCTGTTGTGTACCTACTATCTGCATGTTTGTAGATTGCAGCTTAATTTCTTGAATTGTTGTTATATGCCTTTGCATGTTTGTAGAATTATAGTTTCATATGCCTCTGCATTCTCTTCATGTAGAATGTCGGAGCAAGAAGTTGCTCCGAAGGAAGTGAATGTCCTGAAAAGGAATTCAGATGATGTGGGATGGGAGTATGGGTTTCTGGTGGATCCAAACAATAAGGACAAGGTCGAGTGCAAGTTCTGTGGTCATCAGAGCCAAGGAGGGATCCATTGGTTGAAGGAACATGTGGCCAATGTTGGAACAAATGCGAAGAAATGCAGAAAGAGCACAGATGAGGCTAAAGAGAAGTGCAAGAAATCGCTAGAAGATGCAAAAAAGAAGAGGAAGTAGCAGGCTGCTCGTGAACTAGAGCTTAGAGAAGAAGTGAATGTTTCTCGGGTTGGAACAGAGGATGATGAAGTGACTTGTGTTGGAAGTTCAGAGCCTCACAAATTAGGACCCATTGATAAGTGGACACGTGCTATTGATCCTAAAGCAACAAAATCTGAATCTTTGCAGCAACATAAGCCGAACAAGGAACTTTGGAAACAAAGAACACATGAGGTGCATAAATATATTGCAAGATGGGTCTATAACCATGGTAATTTACTATTATGCATTTCTGTTTTACATTTCAGATTTGAATACATGCCTGAACCGAACACTAATTACACTTTTTTGTATCATTTGTAGCCATACCATTCAACGCTTGTGACAATGATGAGTTCAAGCAAATGTGTGAAGCAATTGGACAGTTTGGTTCTGGACTGGAACCTCCATCTCAGCGTGATCTGCGAGAGAGTTTGCTAGATGAAGAATATGCAAGAACCAAGAGTTTGCTGCAAGAACGTGATGCTGAGAAGGTGAAGAATGGGTGCTCTATTATGACTGATGCTTGGTCGGATAGGAAGAGGAGAAGCATAATGAACCTGTGCACTAATTGTGCTGATGGATCCAGTTTTATCAGCTCAAAAGAGATGTCAGATGTGTCACACACAAGTGAAGTCATCTTTGAACTAGTAGACAAAGCTATTGAAGACATTGGTCCGGATCATGTGGTGCAAGTAGTGACCGACAATGCTTCTAACAACATGGGCGCAAAGAAGCTATTGGCTGAGAAGAGACCAAACATCTTTTGGACCTCTTGTGCAACTCACACAATCAATTTGATGCTCCAAGGAATTGGCAACATGCCACGGTTCAAGAAGGTGATTGACCAAGCAAAGGCATTCACCATATTTGTCTATGGGCACACAAGAACATTAGAGTGCTTGAGACACTTCACAAAGGGCAAAGAGATAATAAGGCCAGGGGTGACTTGGTTTGCTTCAGCTTTTCTCACTTTGAACAGCATGCTAGAGAAGAAGGACCAACTAAGAAAGATGGTGGTTCATAGTAGGTGGGACACATTGAAGGATGTGAAGTCAAAAAAGGGAAAAGATGCAACAGCAACCATATTGAGTCCAACCTTTTGGAAGGATGTGAAGTTGTGTTTGAGTGTTTTTGAGCCATTGGTCAAAGTTCTTCGTTTGGTTGATGGGGATGTGAAGCCATCAATGGGTTTCCTATATGGAGAACTACTGAAGGCAAAAAGAGAGATCAAGGAAGCCTATGGCAATGTTGAGACCCGCTACAAGGAAGTTATTGCTATTATTGACAAGAAGATGAAAGAAAGACTTGATTCTCCATTGCATTTGACTGCCTATCTGCTGAATCCATACTACAGCTATGCTAACCCATCAATCTTTGATGAGCCAACAATAACAGAAGGATTTATTAGTTGTGTAGAGACTTTTTATAATGATGATGAGGACAAGCAAGATCAGACTGCCAACCATGAACTAAAGAAGTTCCAGGATAGAGAAGGACCATTTAACAAGAAGCTTGCAAAGGCTTGTGAAAAATATGATTACAACCCAGGTAGAGGTAACTCATATTACATGGCTGTTAGCTATTTGCATATATTATTCTATTGTAAGTTTGTAACTGACATTACAGAGTTGCTGCTCATTTATTTCAGCATCTTGGTGGCGGCTGTATGGAACTGAAACACCAGCTTTACAGAAGATGGCAACAAGGATCCTATCTCTGACATCAAGCTCTTCAGGCTATGAAAGAAATTGGAGTACATTTGAAATGGTTACTCTCTATCTAATGTCCAGATTTCAGCAGTAAACTTACATGAATGGAAATATTTATATGCTCTATTGTTTAATTTGTAGGTACACACTAAGAAGAGAAATATGCTTACTATAACCCGACTCAACAAATTGGTCTTTATTCAATTCAACTCCAAGTTGATTAATAAGAAAGAAAGGATAGTGTCAAAGAAAACCACTGATGTTCTCTTGTCTAGTGACACAACTGAAGCTCAGGGTTTTCTGTATGAGGATGGAGATGAATGTGCAACAGTTGTCTATAGAGACGAGGAAGACGAGGAGATGGAAGGTACAGGGATACCTTGGTCTGTTATTGGAGAAGCAGTGGGAGCAGACCAACAACTTCAGCTGCGTAGAAGTGCAAGAGTGAGACAACTTTATGAAGGAGAAGAATTTGACTCCGAAGAAGAAGAGTTTGATGAAGATGATGATGAATATATGGAACCCTATTGAAGAAGATATGGCAGTGGGGCTTTATCATGTCATGTTTATCTTTTAATTGTATCTTTTAACTTATGAACTTAGAACTCCTGCAGTCTGTGCCTGTGTGCCTGTGTTCTGTACTTCTGTGTTTTGAGAACTGAATTATGTGTTGTATTGTCCTACACTCCTACTGGTCTGCTATGCATTTAATTTTCTTTGCTGCTACTGTTATCCCTACATGTTTGTGTTCTGAAATGGCTTTCCTTTGCTGCTGAGTGCTGATAATGTCTGATGGATAGGAGAAGGCTAAGATCATTGAGATAAGTATCTAACCTGTATCTTTTAACTTGTATTGTTCATATGGTCTGATGTCCATTTGTATTTAACTACTGATATGGTCCATTGTATTGTTGTAGGAACATCACATTTGTATTGTATGAACTATCAACTATGTATCAATGTATGAACTAAGCATGAATGTCACTTTTGTACCAACTAAGGTATGTCTATTGGACCTTATCTCCTTTTATACAATTTACTTTGCTACTATATTTAATTATTTATATAATTTATTCAGCTATATATATGCTGAAATACAAAAAGGGAAAAACGCCTAGAAAACGCCTAGGCGAGGGGTCACCGCCTTGAAAACGCCTGGCGCCTAAAAAAAACATTGGGGCTTATCCACAGGTTTCCCTTTTTTTTGTTTTTTATTCGATTAACCGAGGCGGGCAAGCAACCGCCTCGGTTAAGGCCACGATTAACCGTGACCTTTTGGCCGAGGCGGTTGCAAAAAACCGTCTCGGTTAACCCTTTTTGCCCGCCTCGGTTAACTTTTTTTTCAAACATCACAATGAGGTTCAGAGTGGTGAATGTAAACATGATAAGTAGAAGTCATAATAATTTACTTGTTGAGTGTAGAATATACATCCTCTTGTTCCAGTTCTTCCATTGTTAAGCGCTTGTGGCTGAATTTGTATATAAAATGTACGCACTGCAGGATGGCACACTGAGCATGGGAGAGCTGGACTACATCAATAGAGGTAATATGATGTGATGCGATGATGATCGACAAAGGAGAGATGATTCAGGAGTTGACATGCGTCTCTCATCAGGCTTCTTATGGCTGAAAAACTTGTAGCTACACTGGTGCAGTACTTAATCACGAGAAACTTTCTGAGGATGTGGGCGATCACTACGCGGGTTTGGTACAACAGTGGAGGGCTCCCCGTGGGGCTCCAATTCATCAACCACCCGTGGTCAGAGGCCACGCTGCTGCGCCTCGCCTACTCCATGTAGGAGGCGTGCGGGAAGGAGTACCTAATGCCCAATGTACACTATGACCTCCTGTCCTTAGAAAAGAGCAGCTCCAACCTCCAACAAATGGTGGACGTGGAATTAGGAGGCGGTTAATTACAACTATAGGGTGAATGGGTGATTGAATGATTAATTGAGCTCATGATCAGAGAGTTGGAGAGAAGTTTAATGCCATCGATGGTACAACACACGTTTAAACTTAAAATTATTGTGATTTTATTTTGTTTCACGGGCATGATTCTAATATAGAAAAAGGAAAACTGAGTGGTGCCATGTACCTCGCTCGGCTGAATGTGGATTCAACCTGTGGTTAGGTTGAAGAGATGTTTGAAGTCATGCCTTTAGGCTTTGGCATAGAAAGACTTAGGAGTTGTTTGATTGCTCGTCTCATTTCACCTTAGAAAACTTTGACGAAGTTTACAAGTGTTTGGTTCACAACCAAAATTTGGTCGGTTTATTTTAGGCTCTACATGTCAATGTCATACATAGAGTAAAAAAAGTGTGGCAAGATTTTCTTGGATATGGCAAAGTGTGGCTCTAAATTTTCAAGCCACATTTTTTGGCTTGACACATTTGCCTAAAGTTAGTTATGACAACAACCTATGCCTAGGAACCAAATAGCCAGGACAAATTATATTTTGGCCCTTGGTGCAAAGCGTTTTGCAAATCAAAAGTGGAACTCGTCATTGCTTTCTTTATATCTGCTATATGCTTGTGCAGTTGTGCTTCGCTCTTCCTCTTTCCTTACACGTTCAGGAGTTGTGTTGTACAGTTACTCTCCTGGATAAGAAATTGCAGCCGTACAGGTACAAGGGTAAGGGGATAAGAAATTACAGGTAGCACAAGACAATCTAAACTGTATTTTCCAGGCTTGTGCAAGTGCAACCATGAGTATCATTATTATCAGCAAGAAACCTTGTTTCTCTTTGAAATAATCCGTGTGAATTTTTGCCCCACAGCAACGAAGATACGTTGACAGTATCAAGCTAACGGCAGATCTCAATTGGTAAGAGTTGAGGTGCATCCTGTTCTTGTCTGAAAATTGATGACCTCTGAATTTCGGTTCACTGTGGCTCATATCCATATCAGCGCTTTTGAGCCGTTCGGTTCAGAGTTTTATCATTGTCCACATTATCTATCTTTTCTTCCACGCATGCAGGGTCATCGATCTCCATTTCGTTCCACATCATAGCTGGTCCTGTCATCAGAGAAGTCTAGCATGGCGATGGTCCAAGAATTTGACTGTTTGTGCAAGATTTCTTAAACCCTATATATGAGTCAGTGTCATACCAATACACCACCTGGTATCAGTTATCCGTCTCTCTTCGCCGGAAACAAACAGCTATGTCCGTGCACAACAACCAGTAAAAGGTACAACTTCTTTGCACACTCTCCACAGCCAACCAAACTGATGCACGTTGTTATTTTGCCATGCTTCTCTCGCTAGTGGCTCATATCCATATCAGAGCATTTGAGCCATTCGGTTCAGAGTTTTATCGTTGCCCATCCACATTATCTGTCCTTTCTTCCACGCATGCAGAGTAATATCTGTATTCATATCCATATTTTGTTAAACGCAACATCAGAGAAGTCAGTTAGCATGGCGATGATCCACGAATTTTGACTGTTTGTGCGAGTGTTCTTAAATGACATACCTCAAGTCCATCACAGTGCCATCCATCACCAGGTAGATCAGTTATCCGCCTGGTAAATCAGTTATCCAAACAAACAATCATGTCTGTAAACAAGCACAAGTAAAAGGAACTTCTTAGCACAATCTCTACAACTACAATAAATCGAACTGATGAACTTGGCTAATTTGCTATGCTTCTCTCGCTATAATCTGGGTATTGATCTGGCTCACACCTACGATTCCAAATTCGACGATGACTAACAACAACTAAAATAGTTCCTTTGAACAACAGCTACAAAAATATTTCCTCTCCGGTGAGGCGGTGACTGCAAAATTGTTCATTGTCCCTATGGCTGCAAAATTTTCCTCTAAGCGCATGCAACAGGTACTTGCAACTTGCAAGCGGAAGCGGCAAGAGATGGGATTCCTCTCAATGCCTCAATGGACGATCGGCAAGAGATGGGATTCCTCTCAATGGACCATCCTGAGCAAGCTCATCCGCGTCTCACGCAGCGACGCCTCGAGGATCGCACCCTCGAAGCACGCCTCGGCCGGGACGGGCGGTACCGGGACCGCAGCAACCGGAGACGTAGTTGGCACCCCGCAGGCGCAGACTCCTCGCCGGCGGTTGATGCAGACGCCTTGGCTTCCTGCCCGACCAACGGATGCGACCACCGCCGCCGCCGCTGAGGCGGGGGCGCCCCGCCGCCATCGCGCTCGTCGACGAGCTCCAGGACGAGGCGGCGGTCCTCGACCTTCCTGGCGCAGACGCGGTACGCGGCCTCCTCCTGCGAGATCACGAGGCGGCCGTCGGCGGTGCGCTCCCGCACAAGCGGGCAGGGCGACTGGATCACGGGCGGCAGGCGGCGCGGTAGGCGCCGCCACCCGTACGACACCCAGCAGCCACCGCCCCGCTCCTCCTCCTTCCCGTCACGGCCACCATCCGCTTCGCAGCCGTTAGCGAGGCAACGTACCGCGCTGGGGGAGGCGGCGATCGTGCGCGTGGCCACGTTGCCGCCCCCCTTGGAGGAGGCATCAGCGTCGTCGGCGGAGATTAGGGTTTGGAGGCCGAGGGGGCTATCCGCGGACAGGAAGAGCATCGCAGATTCGCCGCGTACGGTGGCGCGGATAGGGAACTTGGCTATTTTGAGGTGGCGGACGCGGAATCCATCGCCCCTCCGCTTTGGGTCTCCGGGAGCCGAATTTTGTAGATGGCTAAATGGGCTGGCCCGATTGGTGGCATTGGACCCAACTGCTATAGGGCCTGGCTGGGTGGCTAACCTCCTAAGAGCAACTCTCCAGCAGGAGACAGTTGGAGCCCCTACTTTTGCTCGCCCAACAAATTTCATTCACTCCACCGGCAGCATAGAAACAAGGGGCCCCAAATCTCCATCGACACACAATGACATGGGGACCCAGGCGTCATTGAGTCTACATTCTTCCCCTCATCTCCACACACGGGCCAGGGGGCACCGCTGCGACGAACGGCCGGGGCTCCCACGCATCCGGGCGGAGTTCGCGCGGCGGGGCAAGGGAGGCCGCCGGGGGAGGCGCCCTGCTTCCGCGCCTACCTCGGCTTCTCCGCGCTCGCCGTCCTCCTCGTCCTCGACGGCCAGGTCGCGTTGCTCCTCCTCTCCCGCATCGGCTTCCCATTCGACGCCGTCTCCTTCGCGCTCCTCCTGCCCAACGACGCGGGGCGCTCACGCTCGCCGCGCTGGGTCTGGCCTCCGTCCCCATTGCGCTCCACCAGGCTGCGCTCGTCACCGTCGCCGTCCGGGGAGGCCGCCGGGGAGGGATCTGCCGGGGATGGGAGGTCGTGCCCGTGCGGTGGTGGGACGGACGGCCGCGCCCACGCTGGAGGAGAAGGGGCCGCCGCAGCCATGGGAGGGAGCCGCGCCGTAGATCTGGCTGCGCAACAAGAGCTTGCTGCCGCGTGGGGGTGGAGAGAGGGAGCCGCGCTGCCAGCGCCGGAGCTACCGTATGCGAGTGGGCGCTGCACGACTATCCTTCTGTGCGAGCGCGCGAGGAGAAACTGCTCCAACCGTGGGATGGGGACCTGGGGCTAAGCTCCCATTCGCTTCCAGGAATGAGGTCTCTGGCGAGAATTTGGGTGTCCACCGTAAACTGGGGGATTTAGTAGGGGTCACGTTGGGGCTGTGTTTTTTGTTTGGTCATCTATATTTAGCTACGGAGGTTTAAGTGGAAGTCCTGCTGGGTTGGTCTAATCATTATCCAGGAGTCAGGATTCTTCAGGTTCGAGCGCTCGGACGAAAGCATCACGTCGACGATTTCTCCCGCTCCGATGATACGGGGCCTTTGTTCATTTCTTTCTAGCCCAACGAAACGAAAATACGTTGTACGTTTCAGTTTTAGGTCCGTTCGCTGGTCTAAAACTTGGCTGAAAACACTGTTCCACCTAAATTATTGTGAGAGAAAAACACTATTTCGACTAAAAAAAAGAAGCCGAACAAACCAAATATGAGGTAACCCGAACAGGGCCTCAGCGATGAGACGGTTGTGGCTGCGGTGTCGGTTAGAGTACCATCTGACGCAAATGCATAGATTGACCGTATGTGGTTTTACTATAAATTTTTGTTTCTTATTTATTTATTTATTTATTTTTCCTATTTCTTTTAGCTTTTCCTCTTACTAGGTAGCGTGCCTGTACGTTGCTACGGGACAACTAAATCTTTTGTACTAAAAACACACGGATCGCACGATAAGATAACAATACTGTGAAATTAAATATCGATGTTAAAGTGACATTTAATTCAAAAAGCAAAGTTCGTGAAATTAACACAGTCACGGAGAGCGCGACGTCGCAGGCTCATAAACTCTACTGTATAGACTTTTCCGTGATACGGCTAAGATAATATTTTATATCGGGAGAAAGAATTCTCCGATATTCATTTCTTTTATGCGCCAATAAATCCATGAATAAATTTCGCTGCATTTCCATATAATCTTGTACACACATGTTCAAGTATATATGTAAATATTAGTGCCTGTCACATGGATAATACTGCGTGCCTTAAAAAACCTCTCAAAAAATCTTAAAACAAAGTATGTTATACTCACCGTAGAAATATTTGTGGCTTTAGAACTATTCTACACAACATATATTGTAGAATAAGGTATCCACTTGAGTGTCTATTCCAAGATGTTGAATTAGGTGTTGTAATTGTTAATTTCGACACATTTTTTAGGTTAAGACAACCAATGGTGACATTTTTTTAGTGGTGCATAATTTTATAGTGCACCTCTTGACTATCTGAGTAATGATAAGTTAGCACTGCAAAGGCTTAGAAAAGCTGCTGAGAAGGCCAAGGTTGAGTTTTCCTCCACTATGCATACTAAAACCTACGTCTCCGTTTATCATTGCCGATGCTTTTGATGCAAAGCAATTCAACATTACCATGATCAGATATAAGTTTGAGTCTCTTGCGAGCAATCTCATAGAAGGACTCTCATCCTTTATGTGATCTGCCTCGAGGATATTGGCATCTCTACCTTACATCGTTCTCTTCAGCAATCAATTGATATAATTTCTAGGGTTGAAGGAGTTGGCTGATCTTTGGAGGAAGCCTTGTACTGCCCTAATAATATGATTTATTTTCCATGAATACATGTAAGCACTATGATAACACTAACTACACCAAACGAAAGATTAGAGAGAATTTGCATAGCCTCGAAAAGGATTTATTTATTAAGTTCTTTGGACTCTACATGTAGTTTTGAAATATCTGTTTGCATGTCTTATCTCGTATCCTAATTCAAAATTTTGTAGTTTAATTAGAATATTTAGGTGATTGTATATATATAATATTCAATACAAGAATAATCTATGCATGTTGTTCTTGAAAGATTTATGCAATGTAAAGACATCTTCGTTTTTTGTGCAGGTTCGTGCTAACGCTACGGTAAAAATAAAAGGATAATATATCAATTAAAAAATAAAACAAAACTCATGCTCAAGGTCAAAGAGATAAATTATGGATGCTTGAATTGTCATCCATTATCTACCGGCGTGCCTATAAAATAGACTAAATAAACAATTAAACATAGATAGAAAAATAAATTAATAAAAGGATCATTGCAAGCCATCAATCATCTCATAGCTTCAGACAATATCGCAAAGCTACTAAAAACTATAACCGTGCCCTCACCTCAAACATTGTTTAGATAAATGGATTACAATAAAAATAGAAGCAAATGTTAATACACATGGAAATAAACGCACAAGTAGAGTAAATAATGCCATTTCAGGGGAAATTTTCCGGGGTAAACTTCAAACCATATCACAAGGAAAACTATCTTCTCAGGAAACCACAAAATCAAGTTTTGTCCACCTTATAACACAGGTTTTTAAATTTGCTTGGCAAAGAAAAGCATCAACTCTTCATTGAGGTTGATGGCTGTCAGGTTTACTACCTCCCGAGCACCATCCAGTTCCAGTGAACCTCTACATGTCTAAAGTTTTCAACACCATCAAAGCATCGTCCCTTGCTCGACCACCCCCTCATAAACAAGCTCTGCTCCTTGATCATCCCCTCCACACTATATGACCTCCCAGTCGCACGATCCTACGACCTCACTGTTTCGTGGAAGTTGTATGGGTGCAAAGAAACTGCATGGACATCCTCCAGCTCTGGGAGTAGCCTGTAATTCAGAAACAATGACATGTCAGATTTTTAAAACATGCCCTCATGATACTTGCAAAGTATAGTTTTAACTCAAGTGCAAGCTACCAGACAACTAAGTTACTCGCTCCGTCTCAAAATAGATGACACTTTAGCTATGAATCTACAATCTAGACAATTGTCATCTATTTTGGGATAGAGGAGTACATCCTAATATAACTCACTGAACTTGCAGTTGAATGACATGTCTTGTGGTCTTAAAAAAAGAATGACCTAACACAAATGTTCCCTGCTTGTGCCTTCCATTTGCAGTCTGAAAGGCAATAGTTTCAGAGATCAAATATTGGTGAGTGGTGACCAGTGCCTTAGTGATATTCGAGATGGCTGATACAGGGTAGTTAAAGAAAATGATGTACTCCCATTGAATAGTTGTAGACCATCAGCAATATAGGAATCATCAATTGTCAAGCTATTTTTTTTGAGTTAGCTGAATCACCATGTTAAATCTGGGTGGCAAAATATTTGTGTTTGACTGACTGCTCCAATCGTTCTTTCCAAAATTGTTGTTCTATTGGTTTGGTATCTGCCGCATCTAGAAAGGACACCAAATAAAGAATCGGATAGGCCATATCTGAACGAACTGAGTCCTTGCCATATCCAAATTTGAGAATTCCAAATCCAACTCAAATACATTTGTCATTTCCAACTCTTGAGAAAAAAGTGGGTTTTGAAATACAAACCAATAAAAAAATGGCTTCAAATTTCAGTACAGTTACAATATAAACTACAAACTACAATGGAAAGTGTTCAGATTATTTATTCACATAGTAAGATACTTGTGCTAAACGAGCAGAACATAGAAGTTAAACAACTGATCACATCAGTAAATTAAGTCCAGCGTAGCAAATAAACAAAGCCTAAGTAAAACTTGAATGTAGCATGGCATTCTCCATATAAAAGCAGACCACCTTGTGTGAAGAATTACCTGCTTCTAGCACAGTAGAATTAACTAATCTTCATCACTCTCGCTAAAGTTTCCAGCCATGTATCCATTGCCATCAGAAGACGAGCTGAAAGCTCCAACATGGACCTATGTTCTTTGTAGATGGCTGTGATGGGAGAAATGAATCTTGAAATGTTCCTTTATTTTGAAATGGCACCAAACAATGCAGTCCCAAGCTGCCCGGATTTGGTCAGGGAGTTGTTGATCAGCACAGCAGCAGGCAGTTCCGCTTGCATCGAAGGACGACATAAAACAGGTCCCCTCCATTGCCATCAATCTGCCTACATGGCAAAAATGAAACCAATAAATAAATATCCACGGAGAAATAATCAAGTGACCTATAGCAGCGGAAAAGTCAGAAAATGATTCTGTCCTACTCCTATGCTACAACTATCAGTTTTCAATTTCATGACACTGACATATGAACCTACAATTTAGATTCAAAAATATATAAGCTGGGTACCCTTGATTCATAATTAAGTGCCCAACCTTATTTTGTATCTCAACCCCCAAAACATAGCGTCGGATGCGTAATGTTTCATTAGTTAGTGATTCTCTGATTCGCATGGTCGAACATTCAAATACACTACTCTACAATTCCACCAGCACCGATGTAAAAAAGAACACACATAACTGACCAACCGATTGCACTGAACGCCCAGGTGAAGACTGGCAAGGAAAATAGGCGAGCTGAGAGCAAGAACGCATCACCTTGTCGCAACAATGTCCTCAAGCGACCGCTCGTGAACCTTGCTGGTGGCCGGCCGACCGGTGCCGGCTCGTCTCGCTGAAGAAGAGAAGGATGCAGGCACGCACGACCAAGGTGGGGGGCGGGGGATTGGGAGGGGGGGGGGCATCACTCCGCCGCAACGACAGCCGCTGGTCACGCGCGGAGGCTCAGGCATCAAACCAATCCACTCCTGTGAATGAATGGCACAGGGAAATACGAATCAAAACGGGAAAACAGACGCGGTTAGAGAAAGAGCAAATTTAATACAATAGTCTCTGCTATAAAGGAAAATACAAAAGTAGAGGTTGTAGACATCAGAACAACCCTGTCCATAGGTAGATAAGTAGAAAAATCAAAGTAATCCCTATTCTAAAAATTTCGTGCTGTTCATTGTTGATGGTCGTTTGACCCTAGGGGTGTACAGCCATATTATCTGTCCATCATTTACATTATTATTAGGCCAATTATGTGTGTGACATGGGGGAATAGAACCTTTCTTTTCTAATAAA